GACGTGAGGCAGTTCAGATCGCAAAACTGTCGGAGACAGAGGGACGCACGCTACTACGGTTCTACCGGAGCGGAACGTTGGAATTTGACTCAACCAGAAGGCGGATGTCTGTCCTGGTACAGTCATCCAACGATGGACGCTACTTTGTCTTCAGCAAGGGAGCCGAGACTGCCATGTTGAATCAGCGGGTAAGTCATAAGTTGTCACATTTTCCATGTCCCATTAACAATATTTTAGGCTCTTTTTATTCCAAAAGTTGTCTTGGAAAACTATTGACTTCGGTCATTCATTTCCAGGTCGTCATAGAGAATGAGACAGTCAGGTACAGAAGACAGTAAAGCGTTCTCTGGGACCAGTGGTATATTCATCGGACATTTCGAACTCTCACACGAGCCCATTGTTAAGGAATGAAAAGAGTGTACAACTCACTGCATATTTAAATCAGCTCTGCCAGATGTGACCTGTATCTTGATCTCTACTCCATCTTTGTTCGCGCTACGCGAGACTGGCATCAGGAAAACCAATATGCCTAATAATTGAATCCGGGCGTGAACGCCATGCTTCCTGCAGCAGGCGTGAAGTTCGGTCGTCCGACTGACCCAGTATTCGCACGCGTTCTAAGTCGACGCAGTACCTTGGCTCGCGTGAGTGTTTGAAACGTCGGACAAATAAACCACTGATCCCAGAAAGCACTTTACCGTTTTCTATTCTGTTACCTGGGCCTCACATGTTCTCGACCACTCAGAACAGTCAGGTGTTTACAGTGCTTATATGCTTCTCGTGGTGTGGGAGGGGGCGGCTTAGTCAAGTCTTCGTTTCCTTGTTTCTTACATGACGGGGTGAGTGCGTTGAGGACGATGGCGGGTGGAGATCGGGCGAGGGAATACGTTCTCACGTTAGGTAGTTTGCAGTATGAACATTAGACACGCGGCGTGCGTATAGCTGTCCTCTGTGGCTTCGGGTGACGTGCGATTCCCGCCTGTAGTCGGCCAAGGTAGACCAGCGGCCTGTATCAAGGTCTTTTAACAGCAAAAAGCGGGGTTTGTTTAACAGACTGCCACTGCTTCGGTTGTGGTTAGCCTCTGTATGCGTAGGCCTTTAGCGTAGTGTGTTGGTACCTGGTATATGATCTGAAAGGCCTCGCCCGTCTCCAATTGGTGA